AACGCTTTGCTGTATGATTTGGCACACTGCAATGCTTTACGAACACCGTTATAATACGCAGTCGGCGTACAGGTATGCGTGTTTACTACGTATAGTAACGTACCCCGTAGACGCTCATGTCGACTTCGGTGCTGTCCGTTGAGTCTGCGGCGTATCCCTCCGAGTCGTAGCTGCGAGGGTAGTGTCTGTCCCTCGCGTGCATCGATGCGGCTTGCCCGGCGAGCAGTACCTTCTGTCCGACGTTGTACGCTTCTTCGTAAGACGTCAGTTGGCCCGTTAGAGCACCGTACCCCTCTGCGTCTTCGGGTTCGTCCTCACCTCCCGAGTAATCGTAGCCGTACGAGTCTCCGCGCTCTGTAAGTGGAGATGATAAAATTACGACTGCGCACTATAGAACTACAACCATACTGGCTAAGGCTACAGAGCGGAGCTATATATATCTCCACGCACGGCCGGATTATGCAACGTTCGTCGCGATTGGTCTTGCGACACACCACCGACCAGTTTCCGTGGGCAATTACTGCTGTAGGCTGGCCCGCCCCAGGAATTAACGGCCGTACGTAGATATGTAGCGATATGTAACCGAACAGGGTAAGAAAGTCTACCTGCACAGGTGTCGTCGATGTTCCATTGGATGGCGTGCGCGATGGGTATTCTAGTAGTATAGAGGCGTGGCTGGTTTTACGGGGCGTCAAAACGTATGGGCACACACGCAGAGCCAAACACCTTCTCCTTTTACAACAAGTAAACGTTTGGACCACTATACCTCACCCCACAGCTATATTATAGCTGACACTGTCTGGGTCGCGGCAATCTACACCGGTTCGACTTACGTACTATCATAACGCCGGTCGCGCTTTTAGAAACTTACGCCAAAAGTCTACTCCTTCCGGATCCGCCTCCATTGACGTTGTGAGATGAGCTCCAGCGATACGTGTTTCTCGAAGGTTCTTCGACTTTGGTAGTCTTGCGAAGTAGGTTGAAGCGTTCATACTAGCGGAGCTGCGAGAATTCTTCGGTTATAAGACGTCCTACAGCTACCAAACGGCACCTCCCCCGTGCAGACAGACCGCCGCCAAAGTCCCACGCAAGCCATATTCATGAGCTAGTGCGAGCGCATAATAACAACGTCACCGTAGACAAAAACTGCACACTGAACGATACTAACAAAATAATAGGAATAAAAATATATCATGATTATGGTGATGTTCATTGCGATTCGTCATCTCTGCTGTTTAAAAAACACTCATCACCGCATATTTTCCACTGCTGACTGACTTGTGGATTTTCTTTTTCCCTACAGAACAAAAGAGCAGGCAGTAATTATCAAATATCACGGAGAGAGAAAATAAAATATCACGCAACTAATAATCAAAGAGAGAAAATATATAATATCACAGGCAATATTGCAGAGAGACAAGTGGAACAAAGAATATTGCATGAACAAAGAATAGAGTCCCACCCAAGGTTTAGGCTACCGCAAGAAAGAAAAACTTTTGAAAGGAGAGTTGTGACTGTGTGCAGGATTACAAAGAGAACTAAGCGACAGCCCAGGTCGAGACAGAAACCAGAGTCACAACAGGGCTGCCAATCAGAGGTTTTCATCCAGAGCATGGTCAAAGAGAACTAAGTGACAGCCCCGGTCGAGACAGAAACCGAGTCACAACAGGGCTGCCAATCATAGGTTTTCATGGTCAAAGCTAATGACTCACACAGAGAGGTAAGCACAACAGAACCCCTACTCCTAATTAACACTTGGGCTTTCAAATGCCTAAGTAACTTAATCCTATTATTGGGTTAATGAGAAGCGCATAATGCATTTAGGGTGAATCCCTCCGATTTATCGTGTCTTTGTTTAAAAGATGCTTCTCCAATCCTGAATAATTATTAATAGGTCTGATAATTATTATTATACCATACGTAGTGAGAAATTAGTTACCAAAGTCATATTATACTTTCCCATACTCCAATGAAACTCTTTACCAAACCGAAAACGACCGACTCTCGAAACAATTACCAAACATCAAACACTATATCTCAAACACTGTATACACCAACACCTGCCAGGAAGCAATTTCTGTGCCAGCATTCTCACGTGTTACTCCTGACTGCTTACTGCAAACGAAATGCCCAGTCGGAAGTGTATGTACGTAACAATTAGTATTGACAAGCCACAAGTCTATATATACACCGGAAAAGAGAAGTTAGTCAGGAAGAGGTTTTACATTCATCTGGCATTATTTTAATTTCCTCTATTAACATTATTAAACTTACGCCACATGTCTACCTAATTTTTTTTATAGGTGTGATTATACTTCGGACATAACAAATGACTAAAACATAACAGTTTAGAAGGCCACCCACAATGAAATAGTGGTCTATTATTTTTATTATCCCACATTTACCCTATGTGCAAGATCATGGAAATTCCACACTTGCATGTTCAGTAGCCAATCAATGCGTTACAGAATTAACAAGGGACGCAATCTTTTAAGTCACGAGCAGTGGAAAATGGAACTATCGTTTTGCAATATTTGGCGCTATCATATTCTGTTAATTTCCTCTATTTACATAAACACAAATTAACATACATACCTACCTAATGTTCTTAGCTACTTTTACGGGCGTGTTTACATTTCGTGCGGAAACGAATACCGACCCTGAAAAACAATGACTCATTTCAGGCGATTAAAAATTAAAAGATCATAACACGCCTCAAAGTCTCTTAATCCCTGTGCCAATTTGTGTACAATTAGTAGTTGTAGCTGAGTCAGGTCCTCCTTATTAGGAACAGGGGAGGGGTACCCACGGATCATCAACCTTGCTCCACACCAATATAAACACAGTCTGTTCAACCAGCCCCTCCTCACTTACACCATCCACTCACTACAACCAATTTCTAGGCTGGGTTCACAATAATTATGTTTCATTGCAAGAGAGGTGCCGCACATTAATTATAGGCTCTATTCTCGCAGCCTTTGTGACCTCCTGCTCTCCAAGTACATACTTTACTCACGAGATAGCACTATGTGTGGCTGAATATTATTATTGGTTTGCTCTTGTGTATGAATTACAATCAGCACATATTATTCCAAAGAACATGTGGAAGGAATGAGAGTATATACCAATATGTTTGGTCTTTTGACAATAGTGATGATATTGACTATATAGAATGTACATATGTACTTCATTTTGGCTCACTGGGTCTACATTTATTTGATGGGATATAATGGTATATACACAGCTCACCAAACTCGCTGCAAACCAACAGAATGCATCCCAACCGATTTAACCAGCCCCTCCTTAACATTTATACACCACTACTCTATTGAGAGGAAGAGGCACGAAATTAGAGCACATACCAATACGTGATTGATTCCCCCTAATGCCTGCAGTAGCGGTTCGATGGTGAGAAAGAATGTCGAGAATAGGTCCCTACTAATAGGTGACTGATATTTTAATGCCTTCATCGTTGTAATACACTTTGGCAAATATATACTAGATCCTCTGTTCATTGGCTCCCCTTTGCTCTGTAGGATAAGTTATTAGATGGGATATAGGGATATTTCAAATTTGGCCCACCACCAGTAAAAAAAAATCCCCAAAATCGGTTCAGTTGACCTTCTTTGAAAGCTAACTAATACTCAATGGGGGAGGCACAGAATACTGATATGTAACTGAATGAGTAAGGAAAGGGAAGATGGGCTTTTTGTTGTAGTTCAGTGTGTAGTGTACTGGACTTTCAGTCACAATGCTCCGAGTTTGACTTACGATCCAGGAAATCAACTGTCTTGACCTTGTGCTTACATACTATATACCACGAAACTTCCTTTTAGTATCAGTTGCCATAGCCCACAGGAAGTGGCAATCTAATTAGGCCCTAGTATCCTAATTAAATCAACACTACCTGCATATTATAGGGCTGAAAACTACATATGTGCTTAAGCTGGAAAAATTTACCTTTGGGATGCTCAGTTACTCTACAATTATTAGACTATGTCTAAATACGGAGCGTTCTAATAATAGAATCAATGGAACGTTGGCTACTAGTCACCCAACGACCGTGAAATTGGGTGCAAGTTTACACAGCTCAGTCGATCGGCATGCAAACGCGTCACCACTTCATTCCTTTGACAAACGCAGCACCTCATTAAACCTCTGAGAAAAATCCAGACAAACTATTTCATCAGCAAACCAACCCTTTTTCGTTAAACAAACATAGCAGAATTGCTATATACCCACCGCTATATACGCAACAGGCTTTGAGAATAACACCACATTATATACCAACCACCTTGTGAAAGTAAACAGCATAAAACGTTGAGAAAGATAACCACCCTTTTTCTATTCAACGCGCAGCTCATGTTGAGACGAAGCAACTATTTCATCATCAGCTTTGGTGCATGTTTATAACAATCATTATCCGAATAACCCACCTCCGGGGGGTAGCTCAAAGTGGTTAATTACGTAACATCTTCCCCCCGAATGCCTTATAAGCCATTTATAAGAACACTCCGGCAGTCTTAGTGGCTGAGCGTGGTTTTGCATTAGGGAGCACCGAGGTCCTTTGGCTACCCACTGCCACGGTGGGGGTGGCATGCTTACATACATCTGCAGAAATGGTTTATTGGATAAATCGATTTTCCACTCAGGATATTGGCACCGTCCGTCAACTTGTTGGATAGTTTCGCCTAATACGAAACTTCTGCGCGTGTTTTACAAGTCCAGATTAGGGGGGCCGGGGGGCGTAAGGGAGATAAATGCAATATCAACAATTAAGGGAGATTTTAAAAATTTCCTCCATGCTTTGGTAAGAATGTCAACATGCCTCCCCGCTTGTGTAAGCACTCTTTCAGTTATCGTAATTCCTTTTGATAGCATGTGCAAGACAGTAACGTATGAGGTAATTAGAAAAGGGAGTGTTTTATCCATGAGTAAGAGTGACATAAGGCTCACAAGGGAACCTGATTTCAAGTTGACACTAGCTGACAAAACAGTTCAAACGTGTCAGTGGCTGTACGGCCGCTGTCAGGATCTGGCAAGAGTCAGTATTAATATCAACTTTGGGAAAAATGGATTCTCCCAGCCACAAAGGATGGTTTTTCAAGAGGAGGGCACATATATAGAAAATGTGCTCTTCCCCACGAAAAGCATGTGACACCAGGCTGTATGAGACCCCTAAGCCTACGTATGTACGTATGTACCATTAGCTCCCATGTCGATCATACTGCAAGTATCAGTGGTGTGTGATGATGATAGTCAGGAATTTCCTCCGTCAACGACACATATCTACATCCTCCCCATCACAGTCTGGTGGGTTAGCTCCCTAGCTCCTTTGTGTAAATTCTAAACTAACGATGTGTGAACAGAAAGTTCAAGGGGCATTTTATCAGTTTCCACTCCCAAATGACCAGGTTTTCAGTTCTACCATATATGTACTGTGTGACATAATTATCGTGATTTCATCTACGTAGGCTTAGGGATCTCATACAGCCTGGTGTCACATGCTTTTCGTGGGGAAGAGCACATTTTCTATATATGTGCTCTCCTCTTGAAAAACCATCCTTTGTGGCTGGGAGAATCCATTTTTCCCAAAGTTGATATCAATACTCTTGCCAGATCCTGACAGCGGCCGTACAGCCAGATTGGGCGGGTGCACTCTCCACCCATAATAATTATAAGCAATGTCGTTGACATGGAAACCCACATTAAATCTTCAATACGTACATCTACGTCAGAAAAGAGATTTAAGGCTAGAAGGGTGTACGGTTGTGTATGAAACTAGGTGTACGTAATACTAGAGAGCATGGCTAGACAGACTGTCTTGCGGTGCTCGCTGCCCAACTCCCTGTGGATTTCAAGAAATCGAGTTAGCAGAACTGTGTCACATCGCAGCTTGATGCACGACACACGCCCGGCCGATCCCGGTCGCCACGACAACCCCTCAACCACACCACAAAATTCGTGACTAATTTGTGCAGTGTGTCGTGGGATTTCAATCAAACCCAAGACATAACTGACGCCACAAGGAATGTGTATATACTTAAAATCCGCATTATATAGGATTAATGACATTAATTCAGGCAAAACTCCAAGAAATGTTTTGCCGTCTCTCTCTCTGGCCATCCTAGAGCAAACCACAAGGTGATAGATACCCTATTATCATATCGCTATAATTTTCCACTGACCACTAGGGTTATGGGGGAGGGATGTACACATACACAGACAGAGACAGTAATATTGATCCTTGTCTAGGATGAATTCCGAAATCTATCATGTTCCAAAATGATCCATCGTTTGTGCCCACATTTTGACCGCATTTGGTGGTTTGTGGATTTGAGCGTTTTCATACTCGGATGGCCGTTCTCATACTCCCACACACACAAGCTTTTCTCTTCCTCTCTCTCTTTTTCCTTTTTTTCCTAACTCTCCCTGCACTATCTCCCATGCATGCATGCTAAGTGAGAGTATACTGTGCCATAGCACAGTGGTTTGAGGTTTGCCTTGTGTTGTGTTGTGTTGTAGATTTGAACCCCTACCAGCTGAGTTGCCTTGGTAGCTCAGTTGGTAGAGCACTCGCCTAGACTGCAGAGTGTCGTGGGTTTGAATCCCTCCCAGGGCAGCTCTTTATTTTTCCTTGAAAAAAAGAGCTGTCCTGGGTGTAGTTGATTTGTTTGTTGTGCCTTTGCCTTTCTACCTCATGGTTTTCACACACAATGTCTTTCTCTCCCCCCTCTCCCTCTCCCCTCTCTTACATGTGGCGGGACACCAGAATATGATATTGACGAAACTTTTGCTCTTCGTCTTCCGTATATCTTCTGAGACTCCGCCCTCTCATCCTGACCCACTGCGGTGTCGTCAAGGTAACCCAAATGGGGCCAGTGACTGATGACGTAATGTCTATAACAAAACAAAGAGAATAGTTTACAGCAAATGCAAACTTTCTTTAAGTACATACAAAAATATTTCAGAACTCCCAAAAATGTCTAAAAATACTAATTTATTGATGAAGCTTATTTGTAAAAACCTTCAAACTTTTGTAGCAAGTTGCCCCACACACATACCTTTGCATGTGGCTACACTTGAGAAATGCTAAATCTCATTTATCTAATGGTCTAGTTTCCTATGTAGATAATACAACACACCTATAGTCATAATATTCCTGCCTGGAGCCTCCGTTGAAGTAACTGGGAGCAGCTGCATTGTTCATCATTGACAGGTGCGATAGCCTGGGGCAAGACACCGCCAAGTTCTCGACAAACAGCGACAGGTTCGTAACGTCGTTCCTGTTCACCCAGAGGACGCGCAGGTTGAGCAGGCTGGGGAACTTGGCGTGCGAGTCAAGCCGGTTTGAATCCAGATTTAGAGTGGTGAGTCTGTCCAGTCCACTCAGACACCGCAGATCTCTTCCACAAGGGAAGAGAAAAGTCAAGGATATGCAATACCAGCAGAGAGATATGTTGCATACTATAAAACGAATGCAACACATTATTGGGGAACGAATGCGAGTGTGAATTTCAGCCACGTTATGCACATTTAGTAAGGCATCATGGTATGTTAGAGAGACAATGTTGACATATAGACAGAAAATACTAATCTTTGTTCCGGCAAGGAGATGTTAGCGCTATAAGGAAGTAATTAATATTCATTAGTCAACGCAGTCACTCCCACAAGAGAGCATTCCGACAAAACCGCAGGGGTGGTCACTCCTCGTGAATATCATTAGCAGGTTGTTTTAGTTGGTGCATATCCATAGCAACCAGCTGGAAACTTGTGCCAACACAGGGGGCTTCATTGTAAAGGTATGAGTCGAACAATTTTAGTTTTTCCATTGTTTATGTGGATCAGCACTGTTAAAACGTACATGTCATCACATGGTATTTTCAACATGTATTACTCACTACTGCATAATCATATTTTTAGTCACATGACAGAAAGGCATGCACATGCTTTTCAGTACAGTATATATATCACACTGACCGTGCACTGATCCACTCTTTTCACTACTGCATCAAATGATTAATACCAGTACACTAAGTACATCACAACGTAGTGTTGCAGCTAATTGGAGGGTTAGTATCTCCGTATACTACAGGGTACGAAGGAGGGATACGAGATGTTGTTGTGGCTAAGGTCGAGAATCTCGACGCTCGCGAGTCCCGCGGACACCTCGCGAGGGATTTCCGTCAGTTCTCGGTAGGCGAGGCTCAGGTAGTTGGGCGCCGTCTCCAGGGACACCGGCAAGAGCGAGCGAGCTCTTCCAGAACTCGTCATCTCCGTAAACTAAACTCAGGCTTCATTCGGAGTAGGGGGCGTGGTTTTCGTTGACACGCATGCGCAAACCGTGAAACTGGTTGTGCAAAAACATGTAATGATTCAAGGCCTAGTCTGTCAGTGAATGTAGGGCCTTGATAAGATTCCCCTTGTGTTCTCTGAGACTCCTTTCTGCTGCTGACTTTGATATCTCGAGCTCCCTGACCTGCGAATTGTACCAGATTCGGTATTTTTGACGAATGTATATACGCATCTGTGTAGCTCTCACAATCAGTTCAATGTCTTCTTTTTTCACCACCACTTTTGCCAACTCTTTCTCCCTGTCAAACATCACGATGACGGACAAAATGCATAGCTATGAACATTACTACCTCTTCGCTTTCTCCTCTCTTTTGTTGGTCATGTCGTCTTCGATATTGGTCACTGCCTGGGAATAAAAAAGCAAAGTACAGGGCTCTCTAAAATTACACTCGCTTGCGTACATTTTGTAGTCCCGATATGTCCTGTTCCTCCACGTAGTCAGTGACCTTCTCGAGTCCCTGCGCCTGCTCGTTGAGGTACTTCTTCTTTTGCACCTGTCCCTCCTCCACCCCGTCTTCTGCCAGCTGAGGCTCCGCCATTCTCTCCGATCTTTTCGTGTTCTGCGGACGGACGTTCTATATAACGCGCACCTGCTGCGCATGTTGAACTTTGCACCGTATATTCGAGATGCAAGCTGCAAGATCGCTCGGAGGCAAGATCAGAGGCGTTTTGCTGGACCTTAGCGGAACTCTGTACATCGACACAGCTCCCACTCTGGCCGCTGTAGAAGCGCTAAACAGGTGCGCCTCGCGGGCCCCCGCGGCAGCAGCAAAGCGGAGACGTTACGTAACGCCTACTTTTCTCATTTCTGCAGGTTGAGCGAGGCGGACGTCCATATTCGCTTCGTGACAAACACAACGAAGGAATCGAAGACCGCTCTCTTCTCGCGGCTGAGGGACATAGGATTCGACGTCTCGCCGCACCAGATCTTCACCTGTCTCACTGCAGCGCGGGCTCTCATCGATCGAGAGGGTCTGACTCCCCATCTTATGCTTGAAGACTCGGCCATGGAGGATTTCGCCGGCGTCAAGTGCAGCAGTAGTAAGCCGGACGCGGTGGTGGTTGGACTCGCTCCGTCTCAATTTGACTACGAACATCTCAACACTGCTTTCAGGTATATATACTTACAGAGTGAAGCATGAAGTAGAATGTATGTTTAACTCCTGAAGCTGGAGTTCTTTGTTTGTTTGCATATTATACATCAGTAATAACTGGTAGATATGCAGCATTTTTATTACTATACTTCTTCTCCATGCTGCTCAAACAGCTACTGAAACATTTCTGCTTTGTTTTCCTGATGGCAAATTGCACCATTTTTTGTACATCGTTGAACGCTATACGTATCCAAACTCGCATTCACACAGTTTGCTAATTTGCTAATAATAGATATCTATTAGATGGGGCGAGACTAATAGCCATCCACAAGTCAAGATACTACAAGACCCAGGATGGACTATCACTAGGACCAGGTCCGTTCGTTGCAGCACTGGAGAACGCTAGTGGAGTGGCTGGGGAGACTGTTGGAAAACCAGAGCCGGCCTTCTTCAACTCTGTCCTGGACGAGATGAAGTGTAGTGTCCAGGAAACTGTTATGATTGGTGATGTAAGTTTGCAATCCTACAGCGGAATGACCTGCCGAATAAAAGACATCTCTCTATCAACAACAACAACACCTTAGTATATATGATTTTGTATTACCCGTACAAGACCCCTCAGAATAATTATAAAGATGTCCCCAATGTGTGTCTTATTAACTGTATAGTATGGTCACGATTGTTCAATGTGCACAGGATGTGGTGAATGATGTTGGAGGAGCACAGGAATGGGCATGAAAGGAATTCTGGTCCAGACAGGTACTATTGAGATCTTTGTTGACGGCTCTCTAATTTATTTCCCCAAAAACAGTTCTTGCATACAATTTCACCCCTGAAAATGAGGACACCTTCAATGATATGGATCCTTGCTTCTGTCCCATTTGTGTTTGGATTAAGAGCCATTTCTTTGTGTGTGTGTGTGTGTGTGTTTAATGTGTGGTTTGCACATAGGGAAATACAGGGAGGGAGATGAGGAGAGGATCCAACCTCCTCCTTGGAGAGTCTGCAAGACTTTCTCTCATGCCGTGGACCTTATCCTACCTGACTGCAGCTAGCTATAGCTATACTATACTGCTTTTTGCAGTGTCAAGTTTGTTTTTTTTATGCATGGAGGTTTACACCAAAAAAGTGTCGGCTTTCTTCTTTTATAACCTCCACCGAGGACGCATGCGTGAAACGTGAACCAAGTGCGCATGCGCAAGTACACGTTCGAGGTAGGTTTCAGTTCTCTCCACTTGACGACGGTTCCAAGCTCATCATGGCTTCTACTGGCGAACTGCAAACAGGGTATAGCGTCTACGTACACCGCATAGTAATGCTGCGTAACCTAATCTTCGTCCCTAGCCGTGCGGGAAACGCTGGAGTCGAGTGGCGTGATGGGCCGGCTGAAGGCGCAAATCAGAGCTGAGGTGTTCAAGGCACTGGAAGACCAGGTGCGGCGAGGGCGGCACAACATGTTCTTCTGCTCCACCTTTTGCAGCTGTTGGTGTCTTTTCAGACATATATTGCATCACTCGTCTAGCTACTGCTATTAGCATTTCTAACTGGCAGTGGGCTGAGTAGGGGGGCCTTTATATACAAGAAAATTGGATGTAACACACTTATGCTACCTAGGCAGAATAGTATTCACTTTGTACTGCTTTGAATGGCTATAGATACCCACTCTTTTCATTTTTCAGCTTTCCCTTGTCTCTAATGTTTTATTTTCAGGGAGGAGTGAAGTCTCAGTTTCCAGCAGAGGAAAACATGGTCATCAACAAACTGATCAAAGACTATCTCCAGTTCAACGGATACAACTGTACCTGCTCTGTCTTCCTGAAAGGTCTGTTGTGTGCGCTCCCAGTGAAAATTTTGTAGGATAGCTGCTCTTGCCTGGCTATGCGTAGAGCATAGATTGCCACAGATTTGAGGCTTTACTATAATTATAGTGAATCACATGCACGAACAATCATTTTTGGGCTATGCTGAATATCCTTGAAGGCAATGACCTTGTTGCACGTGAGACAATGTTGCATGCAACTATTGGGTATATACGATAGACCGTGGAAGGAACTATTGCGCTCCCTCATAATACCCATACATAATTATAATTATGTGAGGGGGCATGGGAAAAGGGACCTATATGGCTGGAATGTGAAGATTTAGGTTTTTGTGGTTTTTTCACCCTCAAAAACCTAATTTTCACATTCCAGCCATACAGGCCCTTTTCCCATGCCCCCTCATAATTATAGTTGCATGTTGTGTTCTGTTGCCAGAGGCTGGGGAGCCAAATGAAGAGCTGTCCACAGATTTCATAGCACAGGAGATGTCTCTTGGGTCTCCTCAACAGTGCTCCATGTAAGAGCTCTATATAGGAATGTCATAATTATAATATAGGAGTTGGTGAGGTGTTCTGATCAGTAAGATCCTTACGTCAGGGGTTAAAGTGCATGCGAGAACTATTGTTGGGGAAGTAAGATCCTTACGCCTTGTTGAGGAAGAAAGTGTCGTAAAAGAGGTGTCCTCACCTCTCTGTGTACACAGACCTCTACTGTACCAAATGGTGGATCATTTCAAGAACAAAACTACTATGGCTTCATCATTACCTCCCAAGCCACACCCACCTACCACTGCCTCATTAGTGAACCCTGCACCTATAACTACTCGTGACCTTGGCAACCAACTGCCCTCGTCAAGCAAAGAAACAGGTATTGTAGAGAAAGACAATATGTGAATTTCTGTTATTATCTCCATAATTATCATACTTTCAGATGCTAGTAATCCACCAACAATAGTGATGGAAGGGTTAAAGTTAAGTTGACACAAAACATTCCATTCAACACACTCACAGTGATATAATATTGCACACATGAACAATGATATTTCGAACGCACCAAAAATGTAATAAAATAATATTTCTGGATAATAGTTTGTGAGTTAGTAATCACTTGTCCAGTCAATTTTGATTGACAGCCCTGTCAAATTTTGACCTCTTGGACAAAATTTGCAGGGACGATGCCGGTTCTTTGTCCGAAAGAGCAGATGAGCCACTCGGAATTGACCTGCCCTGTCACGGTCATAATATCTCCTTCCGAGAACGAGAGTTCGTCTCCGTCTTCTGCTATGTTGGGATAGAGTGCCTGCATGTACCTGCAGATTATGAAGAACGAGTTGAAGTATTTTATATATAATTATACCAATAGTTCCTCGATCACAATGTGACAGTCCTAAATTTAGGCTTGTTACTAAAGATAGATATATAGGATTACATTTAGCCCTTATTCACTGCCACGTTTCTCACAGTGGAACTTCTTATAATGGACACTCATAATATAGCACCACCCATCTATGAATGGGAAAAACGGTTGCGTTGACAGAGTTTCTTACTTTTTAGAAGGAGCGTTAGTGGGTGGTGGGTGTGGTTTTGGTTGCTCAGACGCTGCTTCTGCTGCCTCCTGGAGGCTGGAGAGATACAATACTTGATTATTAACAAACCTACCATCACCACATATTTTTCAGTGTGGGTCACACTACGTAACTGTACCTTGTTGCTATCTTTCTCAGCCACGATGCTGCCCTTCCAAAACCCCTTCTTTCGCCCTCTCCCTCCCTCCTCCCTCTTTCCAACTCTGCCGTGACGCTGCTCATAGAGACATCGGGTTCTTCGATAACCCTCTTGTACTCCTTCCTCTCTCGGCCCTCTCTCGCCTCAGTCTGAGAGTCTGTATCTTCTTCTTGTTCTTCTTCTTGTTCTTCCTGCCAGACCGCTGCTATCAGGTTGTTTGTTCGCTGACCCGTGGCCGCGTTTTTTACGACAGTGACACTCAATCTTCTTGGTGGTGTGGTGGAAGAGGAAAACTGGTGGCGAAGGTGGGGGGAAGGAAAGGAAACAGACGAACAAGCAAAGAGGGATAGACAGAATGAAGCTTTATTAGGTACATGTGGATTGAATACGACTGCAGTGTAATAAGTGTCTTTTGAATATTGAAGAAGAAGAAGAAGAAGAAGATGAACAAAACTCCATATCATAGCCCCATACATCTATGATGCTAGGTACCATGCCAATCCCTATATACTAAGTACTACCGTACTTAGTGATATAGAGTTTCTCTGACATAATATTGCAGAGGAAAGGGTCGTATCATATGCAAACTTTAATACATCAATTCCTGCTTATTTAAGCAGATACCCATGGCATCCAAAGGCAGAACTTATTTAAGTGTCTTTTGTGGTGTGGTGCTCTTTATTTGGAGTCATCCCTGTAACAGTATTATTCTATATACCTTGGGAGAGACGAGTGGGGATGGTGAGGGAGAGTTGTGAGGAGGTGAGGAGTGAGGGGAGGGACGGGGGGAGGGGTGGGGGGAGACGGTGGGGGTGGGGATTCTACTGTAGTTCCTCATTTCAGGACACACTGCCAGCAGCTCCTACAACGAGTATACCACAGACACAGATGTAGTGAACTAACTTGTTATTATTCTGCACAGTCACACACTCAGTCATTCACCACTCATGCACTCTTTACATTACACTTGTGTACTGCGCATATCATCTATCATGCTGATCACTCTGGTGTACTCTGCTTTATTATTTCACTTTCTTGAGCAACGAATTTTGTGCTATACCTGTTTGCTTTCAAAGTCAATGGACAAGTCGAAGGGCAGGTAGTTGAGTGGCTCCAGGTCTTGTAGCATGTAGCTGTAGAGTTTCTGGTTCCAACCATTGTCGGTGGCCTGGACCAGCAGGGCCCACGACTGGTAGTACTTGGATAGTGTGTCTTTATGAGGGAGAGGGGGAGAGAGAAGAGAGGAGGGAGAGAGAGGAAGAGGAGGGAGGGGGAGGGGGAAGGTAAGGGAAGGGCTGGACGAATCATAAGTTTGTGGAAACCGCTTGTGCCAAGAATGATCCACCTACAAACTCGCAAAGCTCTGACCACTTGCCACACACGCAATAATAATAGTGGCACCTCTGTTTGCTAAGGTCTATGTACAATACATAATACACAAGTGCATGTCCTTCATAACTGGAGAAGAGAAGTGGAAAGAGGGAGGGAGTGAAAAAGAAAAGAGGATAGAGAATAGAAAGGGGAGGGAGAGGAAGAAGAAATGGAAAATGGTGTTAGGAGAGGAGAAACTCACCATTCAGATGAGGTAACATCTGAAGCCATTTACACAGTAGGCCGCGAGACAGACACAGACAAACGAATGTCCGAAACTTTGTGTTGTTGTCTCGCAGAGCTCGCAGCGAGCCGATCGCCTGCACGACTTGGACCAGTTTCTCCACTTCTTGGGGCAGGAACAGCGAGGCCTCGCTTAGTTGGACTGTGTTAGAAGAGAGAGGGAGGGAGGGAGGGAGGGAGAGAGGGAGATATCTTGATGTTATACGCTACTGTTTTTCTTTTGAGATTCATTAAAAAATAAACGGATGATTTGGTGGCTGACCTTCTTGGCAAAAGGCCATCGTGACTTTCCAGATGTCGTTGAGAATGAGTCGCTGGATTCGGTACGGTCTCAGGCCCTCCAGGATGACGCCGGCCAGCGCGGAACAGAGACGGCCACGAACCGTGTACCCTATACTGTTGTTGATCATGTCCGACCCTTTGGTGGGGGAGGAGAGGGGAGGAGAGGGGAGGAGAGAGGGAGGGAGAAAATGTGAATTACATGGGCAGCTCTTCTTCTTTTCTCTTTCAAAATAAAGAGCTGTCCTGGGTGTAGTTGACTTGTTTGCCTTGCCTTGCCTTTCTACCTCGCTACCAAGTTTTGTTGAGACATGCACTGCTTATTATATGTACGTACTGTATGTAGAGTGCACAAGTAGGCATTCTGTAGTGTGCAAGAGTTCCTTTATAAACCATATCATGTATAATAATTATACTCTTATCACCTAAGCTGTATGCGTTGCGCTAATATGAACTTCTGCAGGAGAGACGACGTCTACACTCTACGTACCAATTCTCTTCTTCTCCTCGATGTCTCTGGTTTTCTCAAAGTGGCTGACAATCTCGTGGGCGGCAGCTCCGACCTCGGTCACCAGTCTCTTGCGATAGAACTGAGGTGAGTTCAGGGGAGGCGAGCTTGGGAAGAAGGTCGGTGAGAGAGAGAGAGAGAGAGAGAGAGAGAGAGATGTGGCCTTAAAAATGCTGCCTGACTATTATATATAGTACGAGCTCTAATTTTTAGGCATGGCAGTGTTGCATGAAAAAGGTGTTCATATAGCGTAGGGGTTATAATACTAGGCGCTAATACTTTATACATAAAATTCTGCTTATTAAAGAAGATACCCACGGTGTACAAAACCTTTTTTTCCCCACATTTGAGTGTGTATTAGATACATAGGAGATAGGAGATTTATACTCTTCGTTGTTCATGGAACAAGTTTTCAGTATAATAAAAGTGGGATAAAGTATTATAAATGTACATACCCAATATCCATGTCATCAACCCCCACGTTCTGAGCGTGCTCAGTGCGATCTGATTCTGAACGACTGTCGATCGAGGGGGAGGGGGTGGGGGGCGGTAGCACGTGCCACCGTTTGGGGGCCGTGGAGTGGTTGAAAACTGCCCGAATGCCACCCGGCAACACAAATGTCTCCGTGTGGTCCGAGCAATCAAACGGTAGGGGTCGTGAAAATTCGACCCCTCAACAAGGTGCCACACCCCCCGATCGTTTCTCACGACAACCCCCGATAGGGATAAGAGGTCCATTGTTCGTTCGCTGGTGTCACTGGCAGTTGATTCAGATGCCAAAAGAACCACTTTTAGTATGTTTGGTGACCGAACCTCCATCGGCACTTGGGGTGGTCTGTTTTTGGTACCCGTGGTCTGCTGTGGTTCCGTAGTGGTCTTGTTGGTCGTGTGCGGCGGTGCTAGCAAGGACACATCAATAACCATTGGTTTTAACCCTGCAATGAAAATACTTAAAGTGTCTAGGGGTTCCATAAACCATTACAGCATAATTTTGAACATTAAAAACTGCTATATATAGCGATACATCCAAAACCTCTGAAAACCTGGTGCTACAATGTACAGCAATCCTTACCTTCAGAATTGTCTCCTCCTCCCCCTTCTCCCTCTTCTCCCTCCCTCCCTCCCCCACCGGTGCTGATGACAGCAGCCATCTTGGACTGCAGTGAGTCGTCTGTTTGCCTCCCCGCCCCTGTTGCCGTGGCGACCGTCATCTCCTCCATCTCCAGCTGGTGGCTTCGATCAAACAGCCGCTCCAGACGATCCTCGTTGTCACGGTAACCTGCCCCTGGCGGCTTTGACGACTGGAATGGAGTAACTAAAAAGACGAACGAAAAAATCTTACACTTGCCAGAATTACTCTACTCTATCACTGTGGTGAATAGAATACCTTTGTTAACGAGACTATCTCCACCGGTATCAGACAGGAACTTATCAAGTACATTTCCTCCATTTTCTGGACCTGTATAATATACATGATGACAGATGCAGGTGACAGTTACGTTTAGTTCACACAATGTAAAGTCACTGCGACCCGTGAAGTGATGCAATATGAATATGAAGCTGTACCGATATTCCGTAAAAGACAATATCTATAATTATACGTGAAACTTTTGAACAAGGGACACCCTTGGCGAAATCTTCATTCACTTATTCAGAGGTAACAACCTATTAGTACGGGACAGAATGTACAGTGTCCTAATTTTAATAGGTGTTCTTCATCGGAAGGGTAATGCTATGTGAAAACTACGAGGTTGAAAGGCAAAGGCACAACAAACAAATCAACTACACCCAGGACAGCTCTTTTTTCCAAGGAAAAATAGAGAGCTGCCCTTGAGATTTGAACCCACGACACTCCTTCATCGGAAGGGTAATGCTATGTGAAAACTACGAGGTAGAAAGGCAAAGGCACAACAAACAAATCAACTACACCCAGGACAGCTCTTTTTTCCAAGGAAAAATAGAGAGCTGCCCTTGAGATTTGAACCCACGACACTCCTTCATCGGAAGGGTAATGCTATGTGAAAACTATGAGGTAGAAAGGCAAAGGCACAACAAACAAATCAACTACACCTAGGACAGCTCTTTTTTCAAGGAAAATAAAGAGCTGTCCTATGTACGTATCACTATACCGTGTTCGTCAGTGCTCCTCCTGATGGTGGGGCTCCTTGTCCTGGCTAGTGCTGGATGCTGGTTGCCAGGGGCAACGGCAAGAGTGCTCATGTTGCCACTGACAACAGCTGGTTCACTATCAATACTGCACGAGTCGAAAAAAAGATGAAACATAAAAAAATTAAGAAAATCTTCCACTTACTGAATGGTTGGACCACTTCTGTTTTTCTTACTGGCATTCCGTCGCTGTAGCAACGGACTTTGACCTTCGTCGGGTGACGACGACGACAATGCTGGTGTTGTCGGGAGCAACCGGGGGCTCTTGCATCGGCCACGCCCCTCTCGTGATGGGGAGGATAAGGGGGAGGGGTGGAGGGGGGAAGAGGTGGAGTTTGCGGAGGGCATTCTCTTCCGGAGGCTTTGGGGAGATGAGGAGTTTCTGCCACTGCTGATGGCTGTTGATCGAGCTCTAGGGATAGGATCTGGCTCCATGGACTGGTGGTCTGAGGACGAGAGGGAGGGAAGCCGTAGATGTTCAGTTTTCCAAAAGAAAAACAAGAAAAACGAGTTTTTACATCACTATACAGTGGGACCTCTGATATCAATCTCCTCCAACCAACAGGAAAACCTCTCTCTGATATCAATCTCCTCCAACCAACAGGAAAACCTCTCTCTAATATCCTATGTACCAACTGACATACGTATACACATGCATACATCCCTACAGAAAATAAAGCCCACTTTTTTGGATCTTTTTGGAACCTCCGAATATTGGGACAGCAATTTTTCATTTTACGGAGGTGCCTGAAAAAGGTGGGCTATATTTTCAATTCTTATTCATACCGTCAGGTGGTGTCATGACGGTCCAGTCCTCGTCGTATATGGTTGCCGGGCGACCATTACCCCCCTGCTGAGCTCTGGGCTGCTCGCGGACTTGTTTCTTGTGAAGAAGAATATAGAGAGCTTTGGCTTGAGCATCTTCTTCCTGGGAGAGAGGGAGGGAGGGAAGGAGTAAGGCTGTAGGTTCACCATGTCGCATTGCTCCGTTGCACCGCGCCGCAAAGATAGAAATGGGGATTCTGTCTTCGCGATATGGCAAAGCAGCAAGGGGCAATGGACACATTGAAAACCCAGCCTAGAAAGAAGGAGAGAGGAAGAAAGAGGGAGAGAGGAAGAAAGAGGGAGGGAGGAAGAAAGAGGGAGAGAGGAAGAAATCTGGATCTCAGGAAGTAAAGAGTTAGTGATTGAATACAAGTCTTTCGAGCTTCACTCGTCAGCGACGCCCCCGGTACAGAGCCATACCTATTTCTTTCGTCCGCCCTCTTCCTCTCTTCCTCCCGCTTTCTCCTTCCTCCCCTCTCCCGTTTCGCTCTTCCGCCCTATGGACCTTCTTGGGGGGCAGCCCCTCCTTTACTCTCTCTTCCCACGCCTTGTCTTTCTTTCCCCCTCGCTCCTTCTTCCTCCCTCCTTTCCGCTTCCTCCCTCTTTCTCTGCTCTTCCTCCCCGCTTTTCTCTCTCTTCCTCCATCTTTCTCTCTGCTTCCTCCCTGGGACGTTCGGAAGCCCAATAGATAGTCCACTGCTTGTACAAGTTCTCTTCCTCCACTGCACAACCTCAGAGATTTCCTCCATTTCTCGTCTCTCGATGGACATTGTCCTAGACACGAGTGACATTGCGCGATGAACCTTCGGCAGTTTGACTGTCATTTTCCCTCTGTGCAGCGCCTTGTTCTTGACCACCAGTCGCCCCGCGTCCAGCTTCACGACTTGTCCGTTGCTATGCAACGTGAAGAGAACGTCGCACGGACATTCACAGGAGCTAAAGAGTCTTTCGTCGAAATCCGTCTTGAGAAAGAGACCACTGGGGGGCAGGGGGAAAATGATAAGAGAAAGATGACAAAAAAAGATGATTTATTGAAACACTTAGTATATACTCATGCATACAGATTTCAACGCCTCTCTGTCTAACTAGTATGCAGATGCTGTGTACAAATCATCTAGATTTTCAAAAGTGTTTTTTCAAAAGTGTTTTTCAAGGTAGTCAATAGGTATAGAGAGGTGGAAGAGTTGTCAAACCTGTTATTGATTCCTGTTTTGTCCAGTTGTATCTGTATGTCGTTGTCGTTGACGACTTCCTCGGCCGTCACGTTGGACGACACGGCAAGAGCTTCAAACTCCTCCTCACCATAAAATACCACCAACACCTTCACAAAGATGTACACATATACATACAATGCAGACTTTAGGCTTCACCATTGTAGTTACATACGTAGATTGAGGCTCAACAGAGAGAAACATTGTGCAATTTTGTTGCATGCAATAATGCGCTAAAAGGTCACAGAACGTAAACCTTCTGAATAACGGAGACAGTACTTAGGTGACGTTGCAGTGTCCATTATATACGTAGAGTGATCTTCTGACAAGTCCGTAGCATAACGGATGCCGAGGATACCATGCTAATATTAGATAAGTAAGGGTGATGATTGTCCCGATAACAAATATCCTACTGAGAGAATCCTTTATGAAGATCAAAGAAAGGGAGAACAGAGTGTTGGAGGTAAACTAATGTGCAGGTAGGGTTAACATAGTGTGTGTGTAAGGGGAGGTGAAAAAACATGGGCGGGAGGGCAAAGAGCCTACCGAGTACGTCCGCAGCGTGCCCTGACGGTGTGAGGTAGGTGTCCCCTCACGTTTATTCAGAGCGCTAGTCTTGGAGGGTAGAACCGGTCCTGGGTCGTACAGCCTAGTAGCAAACGTGCTATGGTGCGGGTGCAGACCCTAGTGCTTGTCCCTCTTACTGACACGAGACCAGCGTCCTTTATTCAGTCTTCGCCGAGCGTGTTGGAGGTAAACTAGTGTATGTAGTATTCGCCAGATAGCTAAGCAACCGGGTGCACAGACCCCAAGTTGTCCGCTATGGAGACGGTGTCACTTTATGTCAGAGGTGTGGAGCGTAAACGTTAATGTATCGGCGTATCGGGCGGGCAGAACCAAGTGTCCCTTATGGAGAGGTGTCCTTTATTCAGAGGGTCCTTTTCAGAGGTTTGACTGTACACACACAATTTATAGATACTGACTCTCTGAGAAGGTTCCAGAGCATAGAATCTGTGAGTCTTGTCCAGAAAAGCCGCTGGATGAACCTGGGGCTCCAGTATAGTGTCTGGACACATATTTGTTAGAAGTCAAGTGTTCAAAATTTAAAGTTCCCTACCAGTTCCTGATTGGTCAACTAGCCAGAGCAGAGTGGACGAAGATGTGAGCTGTTCTTTCACACTCTCGAGAAGGTCAGAGGTCGTATCCGATGGCGACACCTTTGTAACGACTTTGGATCCCCTCCCAAGGTAAACAGTCAACGAAAAACTGCAGGTTTAGATGAAAATAAAGTGTGTAGACTTGATCATGTGACCAGATTCATTGGTCATGTGACTGACCATGTGATTAAATCACAGATCATGTGACTATCACATGACTGATCATGTGACCCTCCCTTACCTCTTTGTACCAGGATCTTCCCCTTCTGCAGACCACGATTCCTCCCAATAGTTTGAAGTAAGGACCTGCGAGAGATATCACATGCAAGTCACATGACTCAAGAGACAAGTCACATGACACAAGAGATGAGTCACGTGACCCAAGACACAAGTCAAACTGCACAACATCATGTCAAATGACACAAGAATAAGTACATTCAGTAGTACATACATACATAGTACAGACAACTTCTAGCTGAAACTGCACCAGAAACAGGAAACATGACTCAAGAGACAAGTCACATGACACAAGAGACAAGTCACATGACACAAGAGATGAGTCACATGACGAACCTCTCCGTCATCTTCGTCTTCTTTCAGAATTCTCTCGAGGAGTTCCCTCTCCTTCTCCTCGGAAATGATGGTTTCTCTGATCTTCCTCTTGGACCAGTAAGACTTTATGTAGCGCAGTCCTCGTACCCAGTATCGCTTACAGTCTGTCGTCTGTATGAAAATATGTAGTATAAACATTACTGGCCACACATAAAAAAATTTTATCTGCAGCTATGCACTATTTCAACTTATCCTTTAGGCAAAACAATAAATTCTAAGGTTGAAAAAAAACTTTCGGGCCAGCCCTCCCTCCATCTCTCCAGACAGACGTCTATGGACGCAGTGCTATGCCAAACTATACGCTGCCCTCCATTAGACCACATCAATACTTGGAAGGGGCAAGTTCGATACGGTATAATATATAGCACCTAAAGTCCAAACCCTTTGGTGTAGTCATAGCTACCAAACACCCAGACCAAAACATGGAATTGTATACTGAAACCAACTCTGCAGCGATATATATACGAATGCGGACAAACAACTGGAGTTTTAGTAAACAAACACCGTGTGTTTACAAACAGTTGTAAGAAGTGCCGTAAGTAAAACTGAAAATTTACTGAACGTTTTAACCTGCGAAAACATGTTGTGGAAAATGCTGCGTATCTCTGGGGAAAACATATATAACTTAATGGCAGTCTCCAAAGGTAGGATAGTCGGGACAAGCTTGGAACATGTCATTAAATATGTCCATATATCCCATATTATGTTTTTAGCTAATAATATTCGGCATAGCTTAATTTGTGTCCACCGCACGTACTGCAAGTAAGCTGAGGGTCTGTTTGTATAAATTTATAACAGTATCTTGACTGAGTCTATATATACGTATATACATACCTCTGCAAGTAAGTTGACGGTTTGTTCGTGATGTGATTTCTTTGTGAAGGCCACGAGCGAAAACCCACAGTTGAGATGGTGTTTCTTCGGAACAGCATCAAATACTGCCTCAGTGATGTCTTTTACCTGTTAGCAGTAGAGACAGATCACTTTAAACCCTTTGGACGCCATGGGGATCTGCTTAAATAAGCAGAAATTGATGTATAAAGTATTAGCGGCTAGTATTATAACCCCTATATAAATTCTTATGGACTTATGAAGGCTCTGGACACATTTATGTGTCCGCGGCTGGTTAAGTGTTAATACAGTGGAACACACCAAACACGACCCAAATGGGACAGAAGAAACTGTCCGTATTGGTGAGGTGTGGTCTTTGATTACCCTCGGCGAGCATAGCGCAGCGAGGGTTACGGTGGCCGTTCGTCGCTCGTCTTCTTCTCCGGGAGGTGTACGTGTCAGTGTACCTACTGATGACGGATCTACTTACACATGGCTATAGGTAGTCACTCGCCCATACAATGGTAATCATTTCCACTAGTATATAGCGTTACTATAGTTGGTACTGTACATTAGAGTTAATTAAGTTAACCCTTTGGACGTCATGGGTATCTCCTTAAATAGACATAAATTGATGTATAACATATTAACGCCTAGTATTATAGCCATATATAAATCTTTGGACTTAT